TAAGAAAATGTATTTATATCAGACAAAACAACTTGAATCATTTCTGAGTTCAAACCTTGCCCTAAAGGATAATAAAGATTATTATGTGGCATCATATCAAGTCATATTGTTTAGTTTAGTTTTGTAATGTATCATATCGCACTGTATTGTTTAACATTGCATTGTTCTTTTTCATTTATAAATAATAAAAAGGAGGAAGGCCTGGCAGTGAAAAGCTCTCAGGTCTTTCTGRATGAAGCATTTCTCTCTGTTCTCCACACAGACTGAAAACACGCATCTTAGGTTGGTATCTTTATATTATCCCACAGTGCGAGTTGGAGTGTGAATACTTGTTTTCTTTGTGAACTTAAAATCTGTTGTTACCCGCCTCTAGCACAGTGACTGAGAGGAAAAGAAATGGGTAAGAAAAATGGATGAATGCCATAAAAGGGGCGTTTACTTCGAGCAGTAGAATGACTGAAAAATATCACAGCAAAACATTAAAAAAATACTAAAAATTGCGACCTGTCCAGGGTGTACCCCGTCCCTCGCACYGACTGCTGGTTATGGGCACCAGTGACCCTGAGAGGAAGAMGCAGGTTAAGATAATGAATGAAAGGAAACCCAAATACTTACTTTGCCATCTCTGGGAGGTGTTTATGAGTTTCCTGTTGGAGAAAAAATAAAAGAAAATCAATCAAGTGATCACAGAATCTGTGACTGGCTGTGATTGGGTTTCTGCACTGTCTTTTGGCAGCTAGAGTGATGTTTTGTTTAGAGGGTGCAAAAGGTTAATCTTGTGTGATAAGATTARACCTTTGGTGTGAGAGTCCTGATCCAAAGCTGTCAATCTTTCTGCTAACTGGCCTTCATCCAAAAGACACAGGCTTCCCAAGGTACCCTATAGATTTACACTCAATTATGTCATGATGTTTCTCCTACAATGAAGGAGCAGTGGACCGTATAAGGACAGTTAAATGGTTGAATCTCTGCCTGTGACTCATAATAAGAAACATCAGGCAACAACAGATACTTCTAGTATTAAAGCAGCTAGCTAAAAGCTAACCAAACCAAAGGTTTTATATTATTTTCCTCCATTTGACCTCATCTGGGTTCAAGAAAACATACGTTTTGTGAAGTCTTTATTCTTCTAAATAAATAAAAGTCTATTGACCTGCAGGATTCAGTCAAATATTTAGCTTTGGTGAACAGCTTCATATTGTAATAAACCTCATAAAACATTTCAACAATGAAAGATTTTTAGTACCTTTAAAAAAAACCATGCATCTCACAGTTCAAGCATATTAAGTTATTAATTTATCTGTTACACTGATCCCTCCGGCCAGTATAAAAATGAGGTTTCTTACCTCTTCTTAGTCGTTTGCAATCTTTTCGGTGTCGGGGTGAGTGGAATAAGTTTGACAACAGTARCTCTCTCCCTTTTATACCGGTCTCCTTCCATCTATCAGTCAGACTTAACAGGTTCTTCGAGGCTGTCACCGCCTCCTCCAAAATCCAATTAGGGAATCAGTGGAAAGCTTTTTTTGGGACTACGAAGGGTTTAAAAATGTCATCCAGGCAAATCAACAACCACCACAAGGCTGTGCTTGTAGTAAAGCTCCTAATCCATCTCCTGCGTTTCTGTAATTAAAATGAAAGATTCGTTTAGATAAAAAGATCAATCACCATACARCATGTTGGCTTTATTTTTCTGAAATTATATCACTGTCTGGTTTTTTWAAGGTGGCGTTTGTCACTGCACGTTTAATAACAGCCTTTAGAATTAGCTCCTGTTTTTAGAATGAACTAATGTAATTAATAGGTACTAAATGGGAACATACTGGGCATGTATCCACCTGGTRTTTACCTGGGCAACTGCTTGAGCAGGTAGGCCAAGACATCTTTACAGCCACCAGTTCCAGCTCTTCTGGGAGGAATCCAGCATCTCCTGAGTCTTCCATGGGGTCTCCTCCCAGTTGGACATGCCTAAAAAAGTCTACTTGGGGAGGCTTCCAGTGGGAATCCTAACCAGATGTCTAAAACACCTCAACTGGTTCCTCTTGAAGTGGAGGAGCAGTGGCTCCACTCAGAGACTTGCTCAGATGCCGGAACCTGAAGGAAACCTATGAGAGGCACCAACAACCTCATGGCCACAGCTCAGAGCAGCCACCTCAACAATACAGGCATGGAATATGGCACACAGACCGAACGTACAGGTGTCAAACTTTGGTCCTCGAGGGCCGCTATCTTGCAGGTTTTAGAGTTTTCTCAGCTCCGACATTCATGATTTGAATGACTGGGTGATCAATGGGCTTCAACAGGATTTGAAGAGGTAATTTGAACATGGAATCAGGTGTGCAGAGAAACAAAAAACTGCAGATTAGCAGTTCTCAAGGACTGGAGTTTGACACAACTGCCAGAGCCTAGGGTGTTCTGATGCCATGTGCACTTATCAACAGTCTTATGTTCAAACATGGTGTTTGTCATGAAAAAAACATGACTGGTACCCGAAAGTGTTCATCCCAATCACACCCCTCCAGATTACAGGTTACATTGGCATTAAGGTCCCCCAAATTCCTAGCTAGACCACCTTTCAGCACTCTTGCTAAGAACTCCAAGAACGATCAGCTCTCTGAACAGACCCTCTCAAGGATACTGGTTTCAGAACCCATAAGGTTTGTTAAGATGAGCCAGACGATAGTTGATACCTCTCAACCTCATGCACAAGTTCAGGCTTCTTCTCCACCAGAGAGGTGACTTTCTATATCCTAAGAGCCAGCTTCAGTAGGGTCAGAGTTTCCAGGCCTCTTCCTTCAGGTGCCACTCATAGCACTTTGTACCCAAACCCATGGGTTTGAATGAGTCGATCCTCTAATGCGAGAGTTGAAGTGTCTCAGACACTGAACCTCCACTGCCTGATGTATGTCCCATTTACCGTTATTTAACCAGGCAAATCCCATTGAGATCACAGACTCTTTTTCAAGGGAGGCCTGGGCCTGAAGGCAACCTATTGTACTTGTTTTTGGGGGGTGGGGGAAACCGGAGTACCCAGAGAAAACTCACACAAGCACGAGGAGAGCATGCAAACTCCACAMAGAAAGACCCCTGGTTCAAACMRGGGATCGAACCCAAGGTCTCATTGCTGTGAGGCATCAATGCTAACCACTGAGCCACCATGCTGCTAAGCTGCTGTCCCATCAGTGTATAAATGTGATTTAAAGCACTGATTAGTCTCTATAGATTGATTCATCTGTATTAGCTTTGTRGAGAGACATARTWGAGTGCTGAATGAATGTGTGTGAATGGGTAAATGAGGTCACAGACTGCAGTCTAAAGTACTTTGAGTATCTTGGCTGGATAGAAAGGCGCTATATAAGTATAGTCAATGTACCATAGCTGATTCAGGCTGAAGTGGCTGGCCACTATGTATAAATGCCCGATCACTGGGCACTCATCAATGTTTTTATGATTTGGTTGACTATAGGCTCATARAAACTTATTACCTTCCAACATTGAGGCACATTTTGTTAAGAGAGACAGTTATTATTATCTTAAGGGGATGGAAATGTTTGTGAAGCYGTATTTTCGTTCTTGTTTGAGAGAAAGATGTACTTTAATCCAGAGTATAGGATTGTGGAATGGTCTGGAGGATGATCTTAAAAATGTCAGATCTATGTACATATTTAAGAGACAGATAAAAGCTAGTTTTCTGAAGGTATATGTAAAAGTAAAATGAGAAACTAGATGAATTGTTGTTTGAGTTGATGTTTTTATTTTTATTTGTATTGTTTTGTAAATTNGTAAATTCTGTTATGTTTGAATATATTCTGGGGATAAAAGGGGCAGACATTATAAGATTTATTCTTCTTCTGCTACCTTTCATTTTATTTTGATTTGTGTATTTTCTTTTTTTATTGTATATAGTTATTTTTTAATGAAATGAATAAATTTTTTGAATTGAATTGAATTGAACGAGCTGCCCCCTCTAGGGCCCTGGTATCACATGTCTTGGTGAGGGACAGAAAAGCATTTACTGTCTTCTGTCCATACATGTATTATGAATCACTCTTTGTCTGACCTGTTACCTTGGATCAGTTGGTGTCCAACGTCTGTCCTCAAGGGCCGGTGTCCTGCACGTTTTAGGTGCTGCCCTGGTTCAACACAGCTGAACCTAAGGACTGCTTAATTAGTAGGTATCTGCAGACTGCATACTGAGGAAGCCTAATTAAGCACTCCTTAGGTTCAGCTGTGCTGAACCAGGGCAGCACCTAAAACATGCAGGACACTGGCCCTTGAGGACCGACTTTGGACACCACTCATAGGATCATCAGGCACACAAACTTTACCAATAACATAGCAATTCACAGAAGACCACACGTTTATATTTAATTACATAAATTTCTTTTTTTACTCTGGAGAAAGGTAAAAATAATGTGCATCTATTTTGAGGCTTCTGCAGCGCAGGGTGTTGATTTTCTGTATTTAAGTCTGTCTGATCTCAGCAGATTAACAGCTTCCAATCATGTAAGAGTACGGATGGTGGAGCCTCACTGCCAACATTAGAGTAAGCTGTCTTATTTAACAGCGTCTCAGGAACGTGCCAGAGATTAGATGGGATTCCCTTTAACCTTTGAAACTCTGAATCTTTCTGACAAGTCCGTTTTAACAAGCTTTTGTTGGAAAAAAAGACCAAAACAATGTGATTTTCAATAAGTTATAGGCCTAAAGTACAAAGAAGACTATTCAGAACATAACACACAGTTTTGCATTTCTGTAGAAAACACAAAATATTGTTAAAGGAGAATACGTGACAAAAAACTATGATGGYATTCAGCCAAAATGAGACCTCTGGCCATCAGAACGCCCCACAAGGCAAGAGTCACCATGAGGTTTTTACAGGCTTAGCAGAAGCCTGACAGTTTATACTTTAGGTTCACACTTTAAAAAGAGAGAATGTGTTTATTTTAAATAACGGAAGAGAGAAGCAGTTAAATGWAAACAAATATTTTTAATTTTATTATCCATAGGGGTTAATCAGTTCTTAAACTAATGACTTTTTCAAATACAAACTGTATTTTATTTAAAAAAAAACTGAAGTTACACTGCAAAAACTGTCCACCTAACCAAGTTTTAAAATTTTATATCAGCCAAAAGTCTTTCTGATCTTGTTTTGAGACTGATTTACTAAACAAGAACTGATTGTGTAAGAATAATCATCTTGTTTTCAGAATGTGTAAGAT